TGCTTATGGGCCTCAACCCGCTTCACGCCAGTATTCGTGTGGCTCCAGGGGAGATGTTCCAGTCTCCTGAAGCTGTTGGTGTATACTCTTCTCAAGGTGTTGGTGGCGTATCGCACTCGTTTCACGACCTATATCGCAACCATCTCTCCCGTTCCAAGTTCACGGATCAAACCAGGCCAATTCTACTCAACTCTTGGGAAGGATTGAGCTTTGATATCAACGAGACTTCTCTGGTTAACCTTGCCGGCGAGGCTGAAGAGCTAGGAATTGAGCTCTTCGTGATGGACGATGGGTGGTTCGGCGTAGAGTATCCACGTAACAACGACTCTCTCGGTCTGGGCGACTGGACGCCAAATCCGGCTAAATTCCCTGATGGTCTTGGCCCATACGTGGAGCAGGTCAACAACTTTACAGTGTTGAACGCATCATCAACACCTCTACAGTTCGGTATTGTGAGTGTCTCTGTGCTATGCGAACTAAATTTGAGACATACACTGACACTATACCTCTATATTTAGTGGGTAGAACCAGAAATGGTCAATCCCAACTCGACACTTTACCATGAGCATCCCGATTGGGTCTTGCACGCGGGAAAGCACGAGAGATCGCTGACCCGAAACCAACTAGTACTGAACGTGGGATTGCCCGAAGTACAAGAGTTCATCATCAGCTCCGTCTCTCGAATTCTCGATTCTGCGAACATCCAATACGTGAAATGGGACAACAACCGCGGCATGCATGAACTTGCCCGTCCATCTGACGACTACACTTATATCCTCGGTTTATACCGCGTGATTGACAACCTCACAACAAGCTACCCCAACGTACTTTGGGAAGGCTGCGCATCCGGTGGAGGCCGCTTCGACCCAGGTCTGCTCCACTACTGGCCGCAGCACTGGACTTCCGATAACACGGATGCATCAAACCGTCTCACCATTCAAATGGGTACATCACTTGTCTACCCACCTTCGGCGATGGGGTGCCACGTCTCCGCTATCCCGAACGGTCTCACCCACCGCAACATCAGCATCGAGTACCGCGGCCATGTAGCGATGATGTGCGGCTCCTTCGGTCTCGAACTAAACCCCGGGGAGCTCTCACCAGAGGAAGCTTCCGCCGTACCGTCCATCATGGCGCAAGCTAAAGCCGTAAATCCAGTAGTTATTTCTGGTGACTTTTATCGCCTCGCCCACCCGGATGTCAGTAATTGGCCAGGTGTGCAATTCGTCAGTGCAGACGCAAGCCAGAGTGTAGTGTTTGCGTTCCAGCAACTATATATGATCAAACCGGCTGCGCCTCCACTGAGACTGCAAGGCTTGGATCCTAAGGCGAGATATTACAATGACTTGGACAATGCTACATACAGTGGGGCTACATACATGAATGGTGGACTCAATATTCAGTGGCCCATGGGGGATTATCAAAGTAAGCTGATTTGGTTGAACAAGGTCTGAATAGCTTAATGTGTACATGCATTTACCATAATCGAATCATCTTCGTCAGTAACGCACTTGTCTGAAAGCATCTGATCTCGTTCAGGAGCGCCAATAGCGAGGGCAGTTCCTAAATCTTAGCCAATGGACGACGGTAGACCGCTTCCCACCCATTCTCTGCAACAGCCCGAATTTTCTTGTCATCCATGACCTTGACCAGCTTTCCACACTTCTCTCCGATAAGCATAGCGACGTACTGGTCTTCCTGCTCCTTACTAACCAGATGGTACCGACAAAGGTACGCCACGTGGTTGGCCAATGCCTCCAGAATGGGATCTACGACCGCGTCCTTGCATGTCAGCTCAGCAACGGTGACTAATTCGTTGACTTCCACAGTACGACAAACAAGACCACCAATGTAACGTTCGATGACCTGCTGAGTATATTGAGCCATACCTAAGGTACGCGCTGTAAGGTGAAGCTCTAGACCCTTCTGGAGGTTGTTGGGTATGGGAAGGTCAGTGTATTCCTTATCAGTACAGATCTTCCGCAGCCACTTCGAGATGGCACGCATCGACTCCAATGTGACGTCTTTGTGATTGCATCTAATCAATTTGGCTTCTGCATAATCGCTTATATGCTGACGGAACGCTGGTGAAGCAGCAAAGAAAGCTAGCTTGGGGACACTGACCTCCACCTCTTTGCCGTTGGGGTCAAGTACTTCCACTTTGATGGTGATGTGTGGATATAGTTCTTTACGAGCGGAGGCTGACCAGTTGCGGAGATGGTACCCGCCGTTTAGATTCTCTAGGTCTCCGAGGACTCTGTTAATCTGGCCGGCTGGGGAAAGGGAGTCGACAAAGTTACTTGTCTTGGCGGCATTGCGACGCTGGGAACTTTTACCCTTCACGGGTCGGTTAGTGTTGGTATTGCGAGAAGCGGTAGACATTATTGTAGTGTCTTGGATTATCCAATATAGTTTCAGAGTTGATGTGTAGATGTATCCAGAGTTGATTATAATGTACATCTCTCAAAATGAGTGATTTGGGAGGCTTTATAGATCTCCAGGAGGAACTTTCTCAGAGAGTGATTGTTAGCTGGTACGAGGGAAAGAACTGCGCTATGACCCTGAGTTTATCGTGTTTGTGTCTAAGAGAACCTTCAACATTAGGTGAGTGAATGGATGAATGAATTCAGAGCTATACCTTTGAATTAGGCTATGCGCTAAGGGTGAGTGATAGAGCAAAACCCGATAGACGGCTGCACAGACCTGTTGGAAGGACCAAAGTATATTGCAGATCAGTTGTGGCAACGATGAGAATTGCGTTGTGTCATCCTGATGTTCGCTCGAAGATTCATTTTTAAAGACGGACATTGTATGACTTATCTTTGAGTGTCTAAAGCTGCAGCACACCTCTCGTATATGGAAGAGCTGATCGCAGTATAGCAGGTAAGTAAATTGGTCATTTGACTATCCGAGTCATATTCACCAGTGAATATTGTCTTTGTCTCGGGTTGGATTGGAAGTTGCTCATCACTCAAGTTGACGTTAAATGGCAGGATGTCTGGCAATGTGACAAACGTTGTCAGATGTAGCTGCGCAATCGTGAACTTGCTACCACTGAGCTTGTTCTTACAAGAGCTGAACATGTCACCACCGCTTGTGAGCATAGATCTCCACAAGCACTTTGTTGCGTTGACATAATGTGCACAAATTGCAGAATTGAGTCATTGCGGAGGATTGTGCTTACATTAAAGCGAACATGGTAGATGAATGCTGTACAGTCTTTGGTTTGTTTTGCTTAAACGTGTGGATTCGTTCCATCGGTGAATACCTTGCGTAGTTCTTCAGCTGCCGCAGATGTGCTCGAGCACTCGCGATCGGAAGGAAATCCGGCAATAGATCGTACAATGCGCGCTGCATCTGCTCGACATGCATCATCTCCTTTCTTTAGGATATTGGAAAACCTATTCTTACTTCTTGCGCAGCCCACTAACTTGAGGGGAGCAGCTTGGTGATTATGATGGGTTCAAAGTATGTTTAGTCGAATGGTGGTGTTACTATTGATAGCTCCTCATGCAGCGGGGCTCTGCTGGTTGCTCCGTTTGGCCCCACTAAACTTCATGCACCCGCGGATAGCCCCATTGGCGGCGATAGCCAACACAAGCGCCGGCACCCGTGTTGAGATGGCAGCGTTCCGAAGACGGGGTGCAGCGCTTGTCAAGACAGGAGATGGTGATGGGATCCGGGGTGACGAGCCAGGTCGATGCGCAGGTGGGATGTGTTGGGTTACGCACGCTTGGTACAATCCACGATGTACACGAAGATGTTGGTGGCGGTCGTAGGTGTATCTAGCTCTGTTTGCATGTCTCTCGTAGTTTATCGAGCCAGCAGGAGGGGTCCAACGTCAGCCAAGATGCATCTTCAAGCGCCATGGACATGTTCAATTGGATAGAGGGGTCAACCCTAGGTCTTTCTCTCGCGTGCGCACAAGAATGTGTAGTCGAAGAATGTATTCGAGCCCACACGTCGCCCTGATCTCCATAGTAAGCCCTAAGGCAGTTGCCGTAGACTCGATAGACTATTGATTCGGGAGAGCATCAGCTGTAGTCGGGAATGCACTCGTATGCGGGCCAACGTCAGTCGAGAGGTACTGGCGGCAATGTAGACGCAGTCACCAACAAGCGATCGACTCAGACGCCCGAATAATGACCCTCGACACTACGCGTAGAAGATGAAACAGAGCTAGGGGCCATTCATAAGAAGAGCAACCTCAGCGCTTGCGGAAACACTCAACAACACGGCTTGCATCTTGTCTCGTGGCATGTTGCAGACCCAAAGGTACTCGCAAATAGGATCATCATCCACGCCGCAACACACTGATGGTCGTCTGCGCGCACTCGCCACTACCGAATGTTGTTTGGAGCCGTTTCATCCTTTATTGGCTGCGCGTCGGTATTTCCTTGTTATTAGTCCACGCGTCAAATGAAGGTTGGAGAGGCTCTTTGCAACCGCTGGACATCGGCCTAGTCCCCTTCTCGGCAAGCCTTGCGCGCACGCGCCTAGTTGCTCTCCACCACCGTCTTGAGCCCCTCCAGCACGCTCGAGTCTTGAAACCCCAAAGACCCGCTGTCTTTGTCACTCCTGGCAGCCCCCCCGTCACCCGCCTAGTCTTGGGAGAGCTGCCTTCTAGCCCCTCGAGAGTCGTCTCCTGACAAAGCCCTACCCGCACTTCCCAGTCGCGCCTGCCGCCTGTCGAGCCGCACCTGCCTGTGACTCGTGGCCCAACGTCACTCCTGCCTAAACCCGAGCGGCCTCATACTTCACCACACCTCACCTCCTGGCACATCTCCCCTCAAGACGTCACCCGTGCAAAAGACGGTCAGCACACGTCGGCTTACGGCAGCGACCCACTCTGTTGGGACCCAAGACGACCAAAGTGCAACCTCAACACCACCCACATCCCCTCGTTATCTCCGGAGCCAGCGTTGGTTGAGAGTCTGTGACAGGAAACCTCGTAGATGCAGTCGTTCAACAACGGGCCTTCGCCTCAACCACAGCAAAACATGTCGTCGCCTGCGCCCCTCCTGCGACCACCCATCCCCGGCGCGCGGCCAGGGAGGAGAGGACCGCCACAGCTTGGTCTGTCCATACCACCGTCCCCGAACGCACGCCCTGTTACCAATGGCGCGAGCGACGGAATACCCACACTGAACGCACCACAGCCCCGCCAGATGCCGAAGCTAAGCGTAGTAACTCCCATGGGCAGCAATAACGCACCACACGAGGGGAGGAACCCGCGGGCCTTGCCGCCCCTCCACATAGGGCCGGGTCTCTCAGCATCAGGCTCGAGCGATGCGAGCGCACACTCAAGATCAGGCAGCTTCGGCGAAGTACAAGCGAATGGATCAGCATCATCATACCACGCAGCGCTAGGTTTTCCTGGGCTACAGAAAGCTACAGATCCCATCTCGGCGATATCACAGGGAGGAAGTGAGGGCGCGCCTTCAATGGAGCGGGCAAACAGCAGCCAGCCACTACCAGACTTGGACGCCATGGCCGCAGAGAAAGGTCGACCATTAGAGGTGGACGATCTAGACGATGCTGCGTGGAGAGCAGCGAGCGCACGAGGAATGATCGAGGAAAAAGGCAGCTTGGGCGAAGGTGCTGGTGGCGCAGTCACGAAATGCATACTGAAAGGCGGAAAAACAACATTTGCCCTGAAGGTATGCATCATCATGTTTTCCAGCTTCTATTTGACTAATCCCTTCAGATCATTACAACGAATCCTGACCCCGATGTCAAGAAGCAAATCGTACGAGAGCTTTCTTTTAACAAGAACTGTGCTAGCGACCACATTTGTCGCTACTACGGTGCATTCATGGACGACAGTACAGGGACTATTAGTATTGCTATGGAGTTCTGCGAAGGCGGATCACTCGATGCGGTATACCGCGAGGTCAAGAAGCTAGGAGGCCGGACTGGCGAGAAAGTGCTTGGCAAGGTCGCTGAGGGCGTGCTTAATGGACTCACGTACCTCCACTCTCATCGCATCATCCACCGGGATATCAAGCCCAGCAACATTTTACTATGCCGGAACGGCCAGGTGAAGCTGTGTGATTTTGGTGTGTCCGGAGAGTTCGGAACCAAAGGAGACGCCAACACATTCATTGGAACGTCATACTACATGGCACCCGAGCGCATCACTGGGCAAAGCTATACCATCACTAGTGATGTGTGGAGCTTAGGTGTGACTCTGCTAGAAGTTGCGCAGCATCGCTTCCCTTTCCCGGCCGACGGAACTGAGATGAACCCCCGCGCTGGGTTGATTGACCTACTCACCTACATCGTTCGGCAACCCATTCCTAAGCTGAAAGACGAGCCTGAGAATGGCATCAAGTGGACAGAGAACTTCAAATACTTCATTGAATGCTGGTATGTAGATTTCTTGTATAGAGTTGGACTTCTGCTAACAATTTCCAGTCTTGAGAAGGACTGTCCTCGAAGAGCCACGCCCTGGCGGATGCTCGAACATCCATGGATGGTCGAGATGAAATCCAAGAAAGTCAACATGGCACATTTCCTTAAACAAGTTTGGGATTGGAAAGACTAAGCGCGCTTGCATCCGATTGCGAACACTGTTACGACTCGCGATTATCTTGCTGTTGACGTTGGCGTCACATTGTGTTGCAACATTCACAGTCTTTCATGAGCTTCGAACGGCTCAACTTGTACCTTCAATCAACACACTTGGTCGCATGCTGGGCATCATACCAAGATTGCCTGCACGGAAAACAACCGTACGTGGGAACAAAACTCTGGACTTGTAGCACGGACTGCAATTATCATAAAGCTTGGAGAATATCTTGGTGAAGCAAGGATTAGGGCGCGAGTTCGATAAGCGCTGTGTGGAGACCATAGGCATTGACGGCGTCTGAGCGGCTCATGTTGCATACAGCAACCTTTTGCGGAAATGTGATCTATGTACGACTGAATGTTGAGAACCAAATCTTCAAAGAACCTAAATGTACAGACTGAGGCACGACCCGATTTATGAGGACGTGATGAAGGACTTTTTTTTTTAAACAACAAATTCTACTTGGCTGAATAGGAAACCGTCTTTCCACAAGAATTAATCCTCTATGTTTGCATCGACTTCATTCTTATCCCTAGTGAGTGGATGCTCCATGAGGCTTAGCGCAAGAACCGGTCCGACACAGCTCCGATTGCTCCAAGCCCGCGAGGCTTGGAGTCATATCAAATAATTTACGCCGCTACATCATCTAGTCCGCCAGTCGATTGAGAAAGTGACGGACCTTCAACGCGCTCTTCTATCGAGTAGATCCCCGCGTGCGACTACTGCGACCACGCCAACCGCCTGAGAATTGCTCCTTACTCCCAACCTACCCCTCCAAATACCCCACCATCGCACACGAGAATCGCGCCAAAGTCTCCTGCAGACCAAACAATCTGCCAAAATGCCGACGATTGGAGTAGATAAGGCGGCTCTTTTCAAGGAGCTAGGCAAGGAGTACACCTACCAGGAGTTCGACGACCTATGTTTCGAATTCGGTATCGAGTTGGACGAGGACACCAGCCTGAGCACCAAGCCAGAAGATCAGGCGCAACCACCACAACTCAAGATCGAGATCCCTGCGAACCGATATGATATGCTGTGTTTCGAGGGTATTGCAATGAATCTTAAAGTCTTCCTTGGAAAACAGAAGTTGCCCAAGTGGACCGTCACTGCGCCCAAAGGAGGAGAGCTTGAGGTGTTGGAAATCAAGCCCGAGGTATGACAGTTGTCTGCATGGAAGTAGAGCAGTTGCGCTGATGATATGTCATACAGACAAAGCAAATACGAGAGCTCTGCTCTGGTGTCATACTACGAGGCATCACCTTCACGAAAGAACGATACGAGTCCTTCATCGCGTTACAAGACAAGTTACATTCCAACCTGGCGCGTCAAAGGACGCTGGTATCCATTGGAACGCACGATCTAGACAGTAGGTGGTCCTGCATGTTTATTTTGCGGCGATGTCTAACGAAACATAGCAATCAAGGGTCCTTTCTCGTACGAAGCGCTACCACCAGAGCAGATCAAGTTCACGCCTCTTAACCAAGACAAAGAGATGAACGCAAAGGAACTTATGGAGTTTTATGAGGTTAGTAGTTATCTTCTGTTTCTACAATCTGTGTTTCTGACCTTGAGCAGAAAGACAAGCACCTCGGACGTTTCCTGCACATTATTCGCGACTCGCCAGTATACCCTGTAATCTACGACGCAAACCGCACTGTCCTCTCGTTACCACCTATCATCAACAGCAATCATAGCAAGATCACACTCGACACGAAGAACGTCTTCATCGAAATCACTGCGACAGACAAGACCAAGGTCGAGATTGTCAACCATATGCTTGTCGCCATGTTCGCTGGTTACGCTGAGTCGATCGAACCTATCAAGATCAACTCACCCCACAATGGAGAGTCAAGAGAGTCGCCGGATCTCTCACCACGGCAAATACAGGTTGAGGTCGACTATTTGAACCAGGTCACTGGTCTAAACAAGTCTCCCGAGGAGATCTCGGAACTTCTGTCGAAAATGGGTCATGATGTTTCACCATCTCAGTCTGACAAGAACATCCTTGATGTTTCTGTCCCAATCACTCGGGCAGATATCCTCCATCAAGCCGATATCATGGAGGATTACGCGATCGCCTACGGGTTCAACAAATTGCCGCGGGTGTACCCTAACAAAACTGCTGCGGTCTCAGCGCCATTGCCGATCAACAAGCTCGGTGACATAGTTCGGATAGAGTCTGCATCCTCAGGATGGACCGAAGTCATGCCTCTTATCCTCTGCTCACATGAAGAGAACTTTGAGTGGCTAAATCGGAAAGATGACGGCAAGACGGCAGTCAAGCTTGCAAACCCCAAGACCGCGGAGTATCAGCTCGTCCGAACATCGTTACTACCAGGTCTCCTCAAGACAATCAACTCCAACAAGCACCATTCGGTACCCATGAAGATCTTCGAGGTCAGCGATATTGGTCTTGTCGATTTGGAGCAGGAGAGAAAGAGCAGGAACGAGCGACACTTCGCTGCAGCTTTCATGGGCAAGACAAGCGGCTTCGAACAAGTACACGGTCTGCTGGACAGACTGATGCTTATGCTCCGGTCGGCGTTCCTTACGCGGGAAGACGGCCTCAAGAACGAACAACTACAGGGTTACTGGATAGAAGAGGTTGATGGTAAGTGCACGCTCTCAGTATTCAGAATACGTATAGGTTTACTGATTCGTCATAGATCCAACTTTCCTTGCTGGACACTCGGCCGCTATCAAGCTGAACCTTGGTGGTAAGAACCACACCATTGGTGTCTTTGGTATCTTGCACCCGAGTGTGCTTCAGAAGTTCGAATTGCCGTAAGTTCATTCAAAACGGTACTGAATCAGAAACTGACAAATGTACAGATATCCCGTGAGTACGCTGGAGTTCAATCTAGAAGTCTTCTTGTGAGATGCCGCACATCCGCCCTCGGTGCAGTCTTAGAACACTCTTTCTGGCGCAATAGATTACTAGATGTCACGCTCGAATTGACACGATATGGTCTGCCACCTACAAATGCTGGACTGAAATCGTACGAAGCACCGCATTTGTTTAAAGTTTACCAACCAAGCAAAAATGACAAACTCCTTGGCGCAGGATAGCGCGACGCGTGATGCTATCGTCACCAGAAAGATACAGTGCCGTGCGCAATGCCGTGTTAGCCGTCTTTTGGAACACTCGACTATGATAAATCTGTAAAGCCGTGCGTAGTGCTGCACCCCGACTCGATACAGATTCGATAATGATGCCCTTAGTGTGTGGGGAAGCCTGCAAATTACTAGTTCACGCGTGGTGACGTCACCCCCATCGCATGCAAACATCGAATAGAGCGGATGTGTCGGTCGCTTCACCTCTACTTTCTTCGGTACATCCTGCAAGAACGATTGAGAGGGCCCGCAAAATATCCACGCGACGTCTTTCGACTTCTGCAAATTCCAGCGTTAAGCGTTGCATAGCCTCTTTGGAGTGCCGATTACCCGTGCTGCTCGCATCGTTCCTGACGGGGAGTTGGCTTCAGATGTCACTGTGCATGCAGCGAACTAGTATATGAGCGAATAACAGCCGGCGACCGCGCGTAGTCAGGGTGTTCACATTGGTCTGGTAGGGATTCAAGCAGCGTCCAGGGCCGAAGCATTTAAGCAAGCGTGTCCAAGCGGAGACTTGTCAAAGGCTAAGAGCACCGAGATTCGATGGCTGGGCGCATAGTCTTCTAGAAGACAGACTAGTACTTACGAGAAGCTCACTCGAAAGCTGGCTCATGGCCAAACAAAACCTCAGGAGCTTTTCCGAAGGTGTTTGTGCCGTATACGCACCTTACCTTCTAGACTTCTGATGGTTGGTGCCGGCATGGCATTCTCCTCTGTACCTAACAAGTGGTATACGTCGTTTGTGACGATGGTTATGCTTCTTGCTTCGCGATCTTGGTTCGATTTTTGCTAGTGAGTAGCCGCCGATATCGAGGGTAGTAAGTGTGTATCCCGTACCCAGCAGTGGCATCCATCCACCGATATTTCTGTAGGTATATATATTGAGTCCCTTTCTGTATACACTGCCAGTATGCACCTCTTCAGAACTTTATATCAGCTTCAGCTTCTCAATAAGAATACTTTCCTTCGATACCATACCCGTATCCCTTCACTACTTCAACATGTCTCCTCGCGCAGTGCACTTCATCCGTCATGCCGAAGGCTACCACAATTCGGAACACAATGAGAATATCCCCGACCCAGACCTCACTCCAAAGGGCAAAGAACAATGCAAAAAGCTTTCACAAACATTCCCTTACTTTGATCGCATCGACTTAGTTTGCGCGAGTCCTATTCGCCGCGCTATCCAGACCGCACTTATCAGCATGGACCCTTGGTTGCAGTCTGGAAAACGCAATATTCTAGCTCTACCCTTAGCCCAAGAAGCCACGGACCTGCCTGCGAACACACCAAGCGACGTGCAGCGCCTTCAGAAAGAATTCGGCGATGTGTGCAATTTTCACAGGTGTTTAGACGTCTACACCGATTTTAACACGAAGAAGGGGAAGTGGGCGTCAGACGGTGATTCGTTAAAAGCACGCGCGCTTGAACTTCGCCGCTTCCTACGCGACTGCGACGAGCAGGAAATTGTCGTTGTATCGCACGGTGATTTCCTACATTATGTTTCCGGGGATCTGGATGAGAATGATTGTCAGACTCATGGAGATTGGCAGAACACGGAGACGAGGAGTTACCGATTCTACCCGGTCGGTCACGAGGATGCGTTATTGCAGGAGACGGAGGAGAGTGTGAAGTTGAGGCACGCAAGTGGACCTGGGCAAGCGATGGGATCTGGCGAGAGTAAGACACCGTGAGATAGGGTGATTGGAAGTGCTGGATGGTAGAATAGCGATTCTACTATGATTTTCGATCTTCTGCGAAGTTGAGTATGGATAGTAATTACGAGTCAAGAACAGCAATATTGCAAATTATTCCATGACTTGCGAATTCGTGAAAGTGAAGAACATACGGAGGTGCCCGTCAAAAGTCTTTGCCCACCTTGGCGGACAGGGGTTTCTGGGCTATTCCCGATTTGAAACATTCTCCGATAGCTCTGGCTCTGGCTTCCTAAGCCGCCTACCCTCCTTGTACTCGTTGCCGCCTTTAAGCTTAATAATCTGTTTAATGTAATATAGAATTCGCTCAATCTAAGCCTGTATCTTCTCCTGAGGTAGGTCTTTCCAGCACTGCTCCCATGCCTGTATTCCCTCTACTCTATTCTTAGGCGCCCCCCTCTTAGTAGTAGCCCTTTTTATCTATAGCCAGCAAGGCTCAATCGCATTTAAGTCAGGCGAGTTCCTACACCAAAGGATCTTCTTAACGTCGTAAAGACTATAGATATAGCTTTAGACATAATAATTATAAGAAGGCGCCTTATCTTCCTGTACGACTGTTCTAGGTCAATTAGCCTTGCATTCTTTTGCAAAAGGAATTAGCTTTAGTAGAAGGATAATCGTCTAATATCGATACTAGTTAATTCCTAAGCCATTACGTTGGCTGAGCTTTCCTGTCTTTGTGTTCCACTTCTACTAAGGCCGTTGGCTAGGCTTATTCCGGAGGTTGAGACGACGTATACTATTTTTAAGCTCCTACTCAGCCTTCTTAATAGGCTCAAGCTTCTTATTTAGCTCGTTAATCTAGGCAGAAGCGGCCTCCTTCTCTTTATTTGTTTCTGGCGTCCAGCAGTGGCAGGGGCCCTTCTTATCGTACGAGAAACAGCCCCAAAACATAAACTTAGAATAGCCTTTCCACCTCTCACGAATACAGCTCCGTAGGAAGGCCTTATCTGCCCTTCTCCATATTCCATATCCACCACGTCGATGGTTTAGAACGACAGAGGTTTCGTCAGACTAGATAACGTTCTTCTAGTCCTCAAGCGTCCAGTCTGCGTGCTCCTGGCACCACCTATATCGTTCCTCCCTCATCTGCTTCGTCAACCCAGGCTTCCTCGTCGGCTTGGTCTTCCTGAAGCCTTCCTCTCTTAAGACTCGGCTGACTGTAGATGCTGAGACACTAAATCCTTGTTGGCTTAGTAGGCCAGCAATGTTAGCACAAGACTTCTCTCGCCCATATCGATTAGTGCGTACAGTATCTACTACTTGCTGAGAGACTGTAGATTGCTTAGATGGCCGCCCAGGTCGATGGGCATCTTCAAGGTGCTTGTCTTCAAGCTGTAGTGGCCGGAGGCCTGGATCAAAGCCTCGCTCAATCGCTCGCGCGTAGATAGAGTTGATCGTACGCTTCTCAACCCCAGTAAGTCCCGTAATCTCATGATTTGGCTTGCCTATAGCCTTAAGAACTACAACTGCAGCACGAGTAGAGTTATCGTGATAAACCATAGCGATAGTACTAAGACTAGTAAATAGAATAGTAAGTGTAGAGTGATATTTGAGGTTGAGGAGAACGAGCCACGTAGACTCGGAGATGTTTCCTAATTAGAAATAGTACATATACCCCTGCTCATCAAGGTGGGCAAAGACTTTTGACGGGCACCTCCGTAGAGATACTTGTTCCCCTTCGCAGCTACCCCACAAATAGATATTCGGCGAATCTTGCTACATCCAGTGGCGCTAATCCCGGAATCACCTTCCACGAAGAGCAAGATCGCGGCTTTGTATCTCAGATGACGGACCGTAACCTTCGTAACATTAGAAACACTCAATCATTATAACATGGAAGCCTTCATCTCAACAAGCATATTTTCGATTTCCACATGTTCCCCAACATCGCCGACATCCTCGAATCCGCTCCCACTACAACCCTCACCTCAACACCAATCACTCCTGCATCTGAGATCACTATGGCGAGTGATCCAATAACGCACATCGTACTCTTCAAATACCGGCAAGATATATCATGGTCAGATCTAGAAAGCCATTTCAAGTCCTTCATGTCACTACAGCAAAAATCGCTAGACCCTCATACTGGTAAACCCCTCATACAGTCGCTCAAAGCTGGCAAGAACAGATCATGGGAGCCTTTCTCGAAGGGCATGACACATGGTTTCGTGCTCGAGTTTGCGAACCAAGCGGATTTGGACTACTACCTCACAACCGAGCCTGTGCACAAGGCCTTCTCCCAGGCCGCGAAACCGCTTATCGAGGACAGCTTAGTGATTGATATCAAAGATGGTGTGCTCTTTGGCTCACCGGCTGAACATCCGTCAGCAAGAGAGGATGGAGTAAGAAGGGGGACATGTCATTGCGAGAGCATTCACTGGACAGCGAAGCTTGAGAATGCTGAGCATGTGCTTTGCCACTGCTCAACGTGTCAAAAGCTCGGTGGCGGTCCGTACTCATGCAATCAAATCATACCGAAAGAAGAACTGCAGATCATCTCAGGCGAAGAGAATATCAGACAATATCGTTACAAAGGCGCCAGCGGTATGTTTCGTTTTGCCGCGTTGGTGAAGAGAGAAAAGGAGCTGACGGGGTTAGGTAAATTCGTGCGATGCTATTTTTGCAAGATTTGCACGAGCCATATCTACCATCATCAGGATGTCATGCCGGAAAAGATTATTGTCCGTACTTTGTTACTGGAAGGTGGTGAGAATATGCCAGCAACTGCTGAGATATTTGGCGAGGGAAGGTTAGCCTGGGTACAAGAGCTTTCGAAGCAACTATGAGCGGTGACTTGGTAAGGTGCAGAAGAGGAAAACTCTCAAGTGGAACATAAGCATATTTTCTTTTGGACTTCCTTCCAATATCTACTATAAATTCACGACAATTGGTGTCAGTGATATACGTAAGCTCAACTCTGCTGCACCGCCAATTACACCTGGTATCTAGCCATCATCCCTCCTGCTCCGTCTTTTATAGCAGATCGCGAGGTCTTTGTTCGCCATTCGTACTGTTCGAATCCTTCTCGTGGCTGTTGTCCACTGTCCACGCAACTGTCTTTGTGATCATCATTGGATCCCCACGTTGTGTGTCCCTTCTCGTAATGTGCTTGTCTTCGCCCGGTACATTTGTCAGCTCCAATTCATCAATCTCCTTGAACGTGCTGTGCGTCTTCGCAGTTCTCGTGAAGCGTTTCGACCGAGCATCCCCCTGAGAGCCGGCTGTGGGGTACATGTACCCGCGATTGCTTGATTCATCTGCATTCCTAAGCGAAGGGATGCAGCAACTGAGAAAGTACTTAATTGTTGGGCCACATGTCCCGACAATTGCGAGTCCAGATTCGATGTTTGAGAGGGTGTAGCCAACTCCGTATGACCCATCTTCCGTGGCCTCTTTCAGTACAAAAACTTTGACAAGGACACTCGTGCGCACCGCGCCGACCACAGTGACTAGAATTCCGAAGGACAGAAATGCAATGACCATGAGCTTACGACCAAGAGGCATTTTCAAATCGTGTAATATCCATGAAGGCATGAGCAGGATTAGGACATCAGTCGTGAGCACAATTAACGACGTGCTGACAGTGTAGGCGCCAGCATCAACGCACCGTCCTTGAACACCGGGATTCCAGTACTTAGATATTGGATTGCATTGCAGAATGCAGGCGAGAGGTGCAGCAACGGCGAAACAGCCGTTTATGATAAGTGTTCCCCATAGACAAACGTTTATCCACTTGTTCTGCGATCGGAGCTTGATGAGTGTCATCAAGAAGGAGGCCTTAACCAAGGCGAGGATGGGATTGTAGATGATCGAGTTCGCATAGTTCCACTGCGAATCAGTCAGAATTATGAATATCAGGCGACGACGATGATGCTACTTCGTAACGCACCTTCATCATCACGATCGGATCGATTGCACCATCAGGGATATCGCGAGTATGGTAGCCATAGTAGCTGGTGAGAATATCTGTCGAGTGCCGTTAGCTGTATGCACACATATATTGCTAATACGGAGTGCGAAACGAGAAAATACTTACAACCACACGTTGTGAAAGAGAGAACGAGGTTCAAAAACTAATGTACAGTACACATATTAGCTAAAGATACTGGAGATCACCATGAACCGGGGCGGTGCTTTACAGTCGCAATGATCAAAAGTAAATCTTCTGAATAATGTGTGAGTAGAGATGTATGTTAAACCACTGAACAAACTCACCAACACCCAACCTGCCTCCTTTAAGCCTGAGTACAACACGTACGGACACTATCACGACACAGCAAACGCTTGGAAAGATCGCCAAGAATAAGTTCACTGGCTGTAAGCCTTTGTTTGCCATGGTAGAAATTTGTGTACGCAGAAGAAACGCAAAGTATAAAACAAAGCAAGTATACCGAATTTTGGAACCAGGCAGCACCTCGGGACGGTCGTTCTTGCAACGAAATTACTGAACTTTCCGTCTCCCGCTTCCGTCTCATCTCTATTACCCTGGGAGAAGAAGTAAACAGATTCGTGAACGGTTGTGATTGGTCAATGTAACAGAAAGCGGCTCACAAATCCTATACGCAAGGGTTTCTGCGATCCTGCTTCACAGAACAAGTACATGAACCTTGGCCATGACCGCTGATTAGACAATCCTCCGAACCTTCCGGAAGGAAGCTTGGCAAAGGGCATCCCTTGTGGACTTGTTGTGATGTCCAATCATAAATCTGGGTAGAATTCTGTGGCGTTCTGTCGGCTTTATATTCTCCTTCAAAGTTTCCGCGGAAGCAACTGCTTAGAAGTACAGTGAATGGCAGGTAATTTTTTGCTTCAGCTACTTGAGGCGGAAACAGATTGTGTGAAGTATCATGGGACGCTTCGTATCGTCTTCGCGGCATCCTGGACTCCATTCGGCATGGTTTCTGGACCACATGCCATGAGTGACCCACTACAGGTTCGACGAGGACATGTGAGGCCGTCTATCAAGCCGCTGAATGGTGATCTTTGCTTCATATGCCCTCCATCACACCTGTATCCTGCAGTTGGCGCAGCTAAGAATATTGTGGGGCTCGAGGCGGCTGAGAACCCTGAGCCAAATCCTTCTTCGCTTGAGATATTCCAATCTCCAAATCGCAAAGATATGCTAAAGCCGAAAGCCCGAAGGTATCTTCCTTGTGTTTTGACGATCAAAGACGGACCCGGGAAGGGCTTTGGCGTACTTCTATTGGTGGAATAGCCGCCACCGAGCGGGCGGGCCGCATGGGGAAGAGGGAGATTGAGCGAGGGGCGGCAGCTACACTCGGACACGCTTTACGAGTAATGTAGGTACAACGACCTGCATATTGCTGCTGCATACAACGCAACGATCCCTCCGACATTTGCCTCTCAGGTATCGCCTGCCATGTGGTTCGACACATAGTTCTCGAACGAATCCTTTGGCCTAGCGCCATGTGGAAATGAGTTCATTTATTAGGGACACCTCACGTAGACATGATTTGCTTCTCCGTTGCCGACACTTTAGTTCTTGCTGAGCTGCAGTTCTTTCGCTATGTCTGCACGTGGTCCTTTCTTGTTTCTTGTTGCAAGAGCTATCGGCGCCCTTGGCAGCCCTGTCGCCATACGCGATGTCGCACCTGCTGCTGCTACGGTCTCTGCGGACTCTCCTGCAGGCGTTGCTCTTTTCCCCCAGGAGGCAGTTCAATTGACCGACAAGGTACTGAAGACGGCAGAGAGCCAAACCAGCGAGGTTGATGTGAATGCACTCTTTGGATTCGATAGCGGCAATGAGACAACGGCTATTTCAAAGCGTGCACTCAGCAGTGGTCAATGTAAAGCCTTTCCAGGCGATCCAAACTACCCGAAAGAGTGGGTATGGTCTATCTTCGACCTCTTACTCGGAGGAGCACTCATCAAGACCACTCCTATCGCCGCGCCTTGCTACAAGAAATCAGCCTGGGATAACTACGACGAGATGAAATGCGCAGACATATCAGCCAGATTTACTACAGCCGATCTCCAGTAAGTAAAACTCCACATGTAGCAAATATTACTGTTCACTAACCTTCATGATCAGCACGAGTGATCCAACCTCCATGATGTGGCCTCTCTTCCAGGGTCGTACATGCATGCCAACCGACGATCCCAGTGGTACCTGCACACTAGGTGGCTATGCCTCTTACTCCATTGATGTCGAGAACGTTGCCCAGGTGCAACTTGGCGTCAATTTTGCTCGCAACATGGACTTGAGGTTGACTGTTAAAAATACTGGCCATGGTAAGTGTCCCTTGTACGGATTGTATGTGAGACATATATTAACTTCACACGCTTACGTTTAGACTATATTGGAAAGTCGTCTGGTGCTGGTGCTCTTAGCATATGGACACACAATCTTAAAGACATCCAGTTCATCAAGAACTACAAATCCACAAAGTACGACGGCCCAGCTTTCAAGGCTGGTGCCGGAGTCCAAGGGTTTGAAATCTTGGAAGCTGCTCGTGACCACGATGTAACTGTTCTGGCTGGTATCTGTGAGGTAGGTTTTGTAAAAGCATACAAGATATTAGGCGACCGATTACTAACGTTCAAATGTAGACAGTTGGATGGAGTGGCGGCTATGTCGCCGGAGGTGGCCACTCACCTCTCGCATCCATATACGGTATGGCTGCTGACCAAGTTCTCGCCTATGAGGTTGTCACCGCTGATGGACGCTTCGTGACTGCCTCTGAATCTGTCAACTCTGATCTCTTCTGGGCCCTTCGCGGCGGAGGAGGTGGGACTTTTGGCGTTGTTACGTCTGTCATCGCTAAAGCCCACCCCAGAATCCAGGTCACCAAGTCCGTCTTTTCATACCAGGCTCCGGTCAACGATTCCGAAAACTTCTGGAAGGGCGTCAACGCTTACATGAAGCGCTTCCCTGAGTTTACTAATGCCGGTACCTATTCATACTTCTGGATCTGGAATTACGGCACCTCGCTCGATTTCCAGATGACTCCCTTCTTTGCGCCAAACCATACCATTGAGTCTTTCAATGCGCTGACTAAAGAGTATTTCGATGACCTCAAGTCGTTCAATCTCTCGGTAACCCCAAACACTACTTACTATGAGGACTTTTACTCTGCCAACAAAGGATCATGGGGCGCAGATACTCTTGGTGTGACCAACATTCGTCAAGCTACCCGCCTTTTCCCAAAGAGTCTTTGGGAAACCGAAGCGAAGTTCAACTCTTTTTACACCACGATCAAGGACACAGTGATGAAGGGCCACACTGTCGGTGGCTACCATATGGCTCCAGGAAATCCCTCCAACGTCGACAATGCTGTCAATGAGGCGTGGCGTAACACCCAATCTTTCCTCATCACTGCCAATCTGGTTCCCGAAGATGCCACGGCAGCTCAGTTTGCAGAAGCTTCCGACTACCTTACCTACGACATCATGGACTCTTGGCGTGCGGTTGCTCCAGCTTCCGAGGGTGGCGGTGTGTACCTCAATGAGGCGGATATTCAAGAGCCAAACTGGCAAACCGACTTCTACGGCGCGAACCACTACCCTAAGCTCCTCGAGATTAAGAAGAAGTGGGATCCAAAGGGTGTGTTCTATGCTACCACAGCTGTTGGCAGTGAGAATTGGGTTGTCAAGGATGGCGATCAGGGCGCTCAAACTCAAAATGGTCGCTTATGCCGTGTATAGTTTCTTGTTTTGCGATGTTTCAGGGAGATTGTCGAAGAGAGCTTGTTACTGCTAGCCATGGTATCAGTGAACATGGAACTTTGTAGTCACCCTGCACCGTTCCTGAGATGCTCTATTCTTGCGTGAGGTTGTGTTCACTACCAACTGGGTACCCTGATTTTGATCTCCGTCTGTCTGATGTTGATTGTTCCGAGAGTCTCCAGAATGTTTGTGTCTAAGAGGTGTTAGTTTAGATCCTCTCACGTGATTCACGTTCACTTATCAGCGCCCCCCTCCCACTATATATACCCAGGCTTCCTCCTACTTACATTAACCAACACTGCATCTCTTCTTGCTCTACAAGAGGGGCTCTTGTGAATAATGTTATTTTCGCCTCTTAACGCGTTGCACCTTCCCCACCCACTAGCGCAAAACAACAGACGCGTCGCAACACAACGTCATAAGCATGGGTTATCGCCCGCGTCAGATCAGGGCATGCCGATCAGTAATGAAGCCAGGCTGCTTTTCGAGCTTGAAAACGGGCTGGTGACGGACAGTTGCGATGTTGTGCGGTATACAGGATTTTCTTTAGACGCAAATTATTCACCTTACATCTCATTTACGTTGTGCGCGTCAAAGCGCAATAAACGTGTCGCGCAAGTACAGTATCTGATTCATCTGTAGGCGTAAGATACGCACCTTGATTGATAACGGTGAGATGAAAGTCGGCGAGTTCCAGAAAGAGGTCAATATCACTCCCAATGCATATTCGCGTTTCATGAGCCAGCACGGGAAGGACAAGGGATCCGAATCTTCCGTATATCTGGCAGCGTGGGCATTCTTCAAGACGCGCGAGATCCAAGGCATCAAAACAACCCCGAACAAGAAGGCGAAGAGTAGCCAAGGACCCGCAGAAAAGGATAGCGTACCCAGTATTGACGACATCGAGCTTGACGGCGAGAAGGACGATAAAGTGCCCGTATTCGGTGAGCTTCGTGACTTCACTACAAGAAAGCTATATACTGAGAATTTGGTGAATAGACACATGCGACGACGTCCGTAAGAAGATCAACGCGCACCTCAAAAAGCCCGGTGTAACACAGGCGGTAAGTTGTAACTGTACGAAACGCATGTGAGACATACACTAACTTCGTATCCTCACATATGTAGGCATTCCTTCGCGCAGCCTCCACATCCTTCCACAATCCGCCCAAGACCCTCAACGCCCGCCAACTATCTGCTTTCCGCAGCAAGAAGGGAGCATTGAACGGCAATACGTCTGGTGTGTTTTACGGTGCTTATGTCTACTTTGAGAAACTGCGTATCAAAGAAGGCAAGCCCAAGAGCAAGAAGAGGCAAGAAATGGAAGAGATACATGCCAAAGATGGCGGTTTGGATACGAAGCGCATGCAAGACAGGCTCCTGACATTGGCGGGTGATCATTGGCACCATGACGCTTACGGGAGGACCATTCTCAACGGAGAGGTTCTGCTTTGAGAGCGTAGAGGAATAGGTGCTTTGCTCGCTAATGTATTTGTTCGATATGCCGCAGTAACAGACTGGTATGTACATGACGCCCAGCGTGTGTGGGTGTCGGATGAAGCTCAACGCCATGAACGCCGATGCTTGAATGTGTGAAGCCGCCGCGGTAGTATAAAGCGCTCATAACGTCGCTGCTGCCTCAACAGCTCCAGCGAGCTTGAATGTCTTGGGACTCGAGAAGACGACTTCGACAGGGTACTTCCATTCCATGAATTTGGCCCATCCTAGAAATTCGTTAGCAACCTGCAATGCATCCGTCCTCGTGGATATGGAAGATGACGTACCCCAGTAAGCAGCCTTTCTGCCAAAGTATTTGCCCAGATATGGCACCATGACCATGGTCAACAACAGCTCCAGTTGTTGCAACGACTCTTTCCATTCCCGGTCTGCATCCGACATGTACTCTTCTTCGTCGGCTTCGGAGCTCGTTGCAGAGGACGGTAATGAATCGATGTCGTCGGGAGAGTCTGGCTCTACGAAGCTCTCGCTGTTGCTCATCGACATGGCGACGACGGTGTTGGGCGAACGAGAAGGAGGATAGACGTATGGCTCGCTCGGCAGGCTAACGTAGCAGCATCGGCGGAAGTAATAGGGTCGCGACAGTAGATGGAGTAGACGCGTTCGGCCATGCAGTTGGAGCGCTACAGCCAATGAGCGGAGGTGGGGCTTAGCGGCAGCCGGCACGTGACGCAAATCTTGGCTCAGAGCGTTCGACTCACACATGTGTTGCGGCGAACTTTAAGGTGACGGCTCGCCCTACTCTTCGACCCACCACCCCTACATAATACAACCTACTCCGAATCCGTAGCACTACACTGCGACTGCTCCACTGAAGATCGAAACCCAGACTACAACCGCAATCATGGCTGACACTGTACGTCATTCAACCCCACGTTCGCTGTCGAAATATCCTGTGCACGAGTGGTGGGCAGCCTGCATGCCAGCTGCCTAGCCTTCACTTTCCTGCATCTTCTACAAAGAGCGATGTGCTAACGGATCTCTGTAAAGGCCGATCTCCCTGACCGCAAACCCCGCAAGTCTGTCCAATTCTCCGAAGGTGCCACGATTGTCGACAGCAACGGCGACGTTACAGAGTCACTAGAGATGAACGGCGGCAAGGACTCTGCCGAGGGCCACTCCTCAGGTGGTGGTAAGATAGCCCACATACTGGCAACAGATCAGTCGCTGACAACAATGGCTGTAGGCGACGACAAAGAGGTTGAAGAGGTTACCGATATGTTCGCTGATCTGGCAAAGAAGGTGAGGGCGCAAAAAGCAATGGTACTGTCAACAGACCACTGACAGAACCACAGAAGAAGAAGAAGTCGAGCAAGAAGAAGGAAGGCGAGGACGAGGACGGCGCAGAGGGCGACTTTGCTGCACTGAAGAAAAAGAAGAAGTCTAGCAAGAAGAAGGTCGAAGACGACTTCGAGGCCAAGCTCGCTGCCGCCGGCGGAGACAAGCCCGAAGGCGAGGAGGAGGTCGCTGCCCCCGAACCCGAAGTACAGGAGGGCGACATGATGAAGGGCACCGGCATCTGGCAACACGACTCGACGACTCCCATCTCGTACAACCTCCTCCTGAACCGCTTCTTCACGCTCCTCCACGCGCAACATCCCGATCTCGCCAGCTCCGGCACAAAGAGCTACAAGATCCCGCCCCCACAGTGTATGCGCGAAGGCAACAAGAAGACTGTTTTCGCCAATCTTGCCGAGATCTGCAAGCGCATGAAGCGTTCCGACGAGCACGTTGCCCAGTTCCTGTTCGCCGAACTGGGTACGAGCGGTTCGTTTGCCGACCAGAAGCGTTTGGTTATCAAGGGTCGCTTCCAGCAGAAGCAACTTGAGAACGTCCTGAGACGGTACATTGTCGAATACGTGACATGCAAGACCTGCCGCTCGCCCGACACGGACCTATCCAAGGGTGAGAACCGTCTCAACTTCGTGACTTGCAACAGCTGCGGATCAAGGCGTTCAGTACAGGCCATCAAGACTGGTTTCTCTGCTCAGATCGGAAAGAGGCGGAGAATGGTGGGCTAGAGGGTTTGTGTTATGCGCTTTACGATATTCAATGTTATGCATGGCTTGGGCTGGGTTTTCTCGATAAGCGGGCGCTACGGCTGTTGCTGTTATGACGCTTGTTCGGCGGATGAGAACGGTCATGATCATGATGGATTCAGAGCAATGTCTGCGGGATAGTTCACGTATATTTGGGATGAGTCAAAAAGGATACAGTATGATAGAGGTCAAAAGAAACATGCTCATTACGTGTTGTGTGCCGTTTGGTAACTTGGTGCAGACGCTGGCAGATGACATGCAGACTAGCATTTGTCATTTGAGATGATCGTGGGCGCTTGCATGCCGTTCCCAACTCGGACCCTGATAGCTTGCGGTGCGTCCCGGAGCTCCCCTGCGTCGTGGATGCATACAAGCATGTTTGCTTCCGTTGCTTTCCCATGTCCTCCCCATTAAAGATAGCTCCCCGCGCATAAACCACTTTATGCTATTCTCTTGCTCACCCGTCGCACAGCCTTGGCACAGCTCAGAGCGACAGTTGCGGGGCGCTGATTCGGCGGCTCGAGGCACCCCGCTAGCCAACAGCTGCGCGCTGGAGGCTGAGCAGCTTGACCAAGGAAGACACCAACGGGGGCGCGCGGTTAAAACGTCTATACTGCATGTGGTGCTGATGCTTCCGTAGACTAAATCAATTCCTTCTCCGCTCTCCTTCCCCCTCTCGTCCTGTAGTTGTGCGCGTGCGTGTACTGCTAACATCTACTCCTGCGTCGTCTTCCGGGTGACTACCATAGTCGCGTCGACTTGGTCTCTGCAGAATTGGGAGCTTGAGCATGTCGGGATATCAGGGAACGCCACCGCCAGGTGGGAACTACTACCCTCGTGAGTCGCATATCGCAGTACATGGGGAGGTCAACTGACACGATACAGCTCCGCCAGGTACATGCCGCCCCCTCTCGTATCCTCTCACCAAACGTCGATTGTTTGCTCACTTAGCTCCTCATGCCACAAGACTTGCACCCCTGAACAGCAACCTAACGCATACCAGACCAACAGCCCCAACAGCAGTACTTTGCCCCTCCTCCAGGAGGCCAATCCTACCCACCACCGCCCACATCCCCTCCCGCACACCAACAACAACACTATCCCCCTCCACCGGGCAGTAACCCCAACCCACAGCCACAGTATGCGCCGCCGCCTGAGAAACAACAGTATGCGCCACCACCCGAACAACAGCACTTCCCACCACCGGGCCAAGCACAATCGCCGCCCCCTCATCAGCAGCATCCACAACATCAGCAGCAGCCGATGAGCCCTGGCTTCGGTGGATTTCCTGGTGGAAGTCCAAGTGCAAGCCCATACCGGGACGAGCAGTCAGGATATCCTGCTGAAAAGACAGGACATCCAGGTATGGGACAGTCGCAACCGAGCCAACAGACCATACCACAGCAACCGCAGTACGTAGGCCAAGCAGCGCATACCGGCCCTGCAAGTGCCTCAGCAGATGACGTAGGAACCTTCAATGGAGGAAGTTATCGTGTGAGCCATCGGGACACAAATTCGATCCTCACAGTGCAATTAGCGATCGGATGTCCGTTTACCGCGAAACCTGGTACGTCTTGCAGCACATGTTCCATATCTAGCCGTTACACTGCGCAAGAAAAACAGAAGAACCACTGTCTAACAGATGAAATCAGGTGCAATGATAGCAATGTCCCCCACCATGACGCTGAAAGGTAACCTGAAATTCTCCCTTAAGAAAGCACTCATCGGTGGTGACATGAGCAAATCTACATACACCGGCCCCGGTGAACTCCTCCTCGCTCCTTCCTCTATAGGCGACATCACCATCATCAAGCTTGGTGGAAAGGAACAGTGGTCGGTGGGCCGCGACGCCTTTCTAGCCTGTACACAGGGTATCGTAACCGAGTACAAGAGCCAGGGCATTGGAAAAGCCATGTTCAGTGGTGAAGGACTGTTCGTGTACAAGATCAGTGGTACGGGTGTGCTTTGGGTTACGAGCTTTGGTGCGATCATTAGGAAAGATGTAAGCTCCATCCTTGGATACCTTCCCATGTTAGGTTCTATGGTTCGTTAACGTTGTCTCAATTTAGCTCGCAGCCAACGAGAAGTACATCATCGATAACGGACATCTGGTCGCATGGAACTGCAAATACGTACTCGAGCGTGTTGCTAGCGGGGGTATCATCAGTAACATGACGGCGGGCGAGGGGCTCGTGTGCAAGTTCACGGGACCAGGGACCGTGTTCATGCAGACAAGGAACGCGGCAGCGTTTGGGCAGTGGTTAGCTGTCAATGCTGCGGCTCCGTAGTCGCAATTTCACACGACAAAGGTCTGGATAGTAGAGAAGAATGAGTGATACCATTACCACAACTAATGATCTAGCGACATAGGAGTGAACCAGCCTTCATTTCGGCACAGCCAAATTCTGCATCCCCTCCACCCTCTGAACAGTCCCAAACCTCTTCTTTCCCTGATCGAAAATCGCATAAACGCCCTTAAGCCACGTATCCCCGAAAATATCAAACTCACTCTTTCCACGTGATTGTATCCCCCCGTACTGCATGCCCGCCCCACATTTCGCAAATCCAAAATCTTCTTTTTGTACTTCAAATTCCTTGTCACCCACTGCAAGTGCCAGAGTAGGAAGATCAGAGATTTTTGTTCCGATGGGGAAGGTCCAACCTTGATGCGCTTTATCGTACACAGCGCCTGGGATAGTGCTGTATATCTTCTCGCAGAGTGCGTCGTCAACAAGGGCCAGTGTAGTTCCTGTATCGGCGATTGCAGTATTTCCGGGGGGTCGTTGGATAATCTCGCCGTTGAGGGTAGCAGTTGGGGAAGAGAACTGCCAGAAGCCTTTTGATGGATCGATGGGCACATAGTGTGGTTCTGAGACGCCGCAGCGCGAGAGGACTTGTTCGTCAATGTAGCCGAACGTATAGAAGGATTCGCCATGGTCGACGTCGTTTTCATCGCGCCAGGAGCCGAGATAACAAGTGAAGAGCTCTTGGGAGGAGGGGATGTCGGATTGGAGAATCATCTAGGGGTGTGGTGAGTCTCCAGTAGGGAAACGAGGTCAGCATAGATAAACTGACCTGCTCTACGGGTGTGGCGACTTTCTTTGGTTTGACGGTGTTGATGTGACCGAATGCCAGACCTAGCAGTCCGTCGCCTGCACCAGAAGTGAACTGCGGGCTGAGTTTACTCGCAAGTTCGATGGCCTGGCCCTCGATACAGAGACCACCAAGGGTAACATTGTCCGTACCGACGATCCCAGAAGCCGTAGATCCTATCAAAGCAGTTATTCGGCTAGATTTTTCCAAGATGAACACACGGAGAGTAGTGAAGGAAATCACTAAAGAGAGTAACAGAACTTACCATCACCGTACCTAATCCTCCAGCTCGCCCCATTCATCTTCTTGAACGTCTTGCTAGCCTTCGCATCAAAAACATTATGTTTGCTCTTAATCCCGGCCACCTTGGTCTCCCTATCCAACTCCGTAGACCACAACTAAAGATCTGAGCTGCCCGTATCGAAATGCAAGTTCATGATTTGGGGCGGCGTTCCAATCTCGACAGGACAAATGTAAAGCGCGTCGTTCTGTTGATCTTCTGCTTTGACCTCGCCTGTTTTGTCGTCTTCAACCTTTCGCAACACGGGTGTAGTGGCTTTCTTGTCTTTAGGTTTGAAGAAGTTCTTCAAGTTCTTGGTTGCGACGTCAACCATTTGGAAGGGGCCTTCGGTTGTGGGTGCGAAGTCATATTTTTTCAGGATGCTGGCATACTGTTTCATACCTGCGCGTTCGCAAGCTAGGTTGGGGACGATGGAGATACGTTTTAGATTTGACATTGCTGTAAAGAGGGAGACCAGGTCTGATTGTTCGATTTAGTGTTGATAAGAATTGATACAGATGGTGTAACACTGCGGTGAGTAGGGTAGCGCGATAGCTGCTATCAGAGCGTGACAATAGTATCAGGGTATTGAGAGCGACAAAAGGCGTAGGTAGAAGGAGACTTTAATACGTGTAACCATGCGCCTTCCAGTCTTGTAACACGCAGCGAGATACCTGCCGTACATAGCGACTAGCTCTTACTTGTGGGGTATCCTATATGTTTGACCTGACTACAAAGTATACTCTCATTCAAAGGTAGTCTTCCTCCCTTGCGATTCCACAATAGCTTGACTTGCTCTCGGCGCATTCGAATGCGCTGCACCACTCTTGATGGTTCTCGGATCAACCTTGCGCTTGAAATCCCGTCCGCCATTGCCCTCTCCTCTATCTTGCCTGCTTCCCATGTCATCTCTACCTCCTCTGCCACCTCTGCCACCACCCCTGCCACCACCTCTGCCTCTTCTTTGATCTCCGTCGTTGCCAAAATTCTTCCATCGGTCGGGATTGACTCCGTCCACAGGCTCGGCCTTGCCAAAACGTTTATCATACCTCGTTTTCGCGTCCTCGGCAAATTCACGACGCAACTCTCTGCCCATCAGTTTGTTGACTAGCCATTTCCTTTGCTTTACGGGTTTATTGGCGTCCTCTTCGTCACTGCTCTCATCCCTGTCCTTTTTGCTCTTGAACGCAGATGGATCTTTGAATACGAAGCCTTTGACCGCTGCCGTTGCAGCTTCCACGTCGCCGAAAGTAACCCAAGCATATCCCTTGCACTTGCCTGAATCTTCAAATGTTGCCATATGAATGTTATCGATCGCTCCGCATGGGGCATAGTGTGCCTCAAGGTCTTCCTTTGTAACATCGAAGGAAAGGTTGCCCACGAAAATGCGCTTGTTCGGGGGATGGCCTGGTTTAGCACCCTTGCCCCCACGGGTGTCTTGAGTCTCCTCTGTTTTGGGCTTGTCTGGGCGTCCGTCAAAGCTCTTCGCGTTCTTGATGAGTAGCGCGCGTCCATCCATCTTCGTCTCTGTCAAAGCAATCGCTGAGTACATTGCCAGCTCTGTAGAGAAATCCACATATGCAAAGCCTTTGTTCATGGGCTTGGTGGTCCAATTGGCGGGAGTCGGCTTTGTCGGTGGGGGCATGTGGACGCGTGTTATTTGCTCACTCGCAATCTCAGTATTATCGGTCAAGAACTTTCGCAGTGTCTCCCTGGTGGCAGACCATGGCAGGTTACCAATCCAGACGCCATATGCTGAGCGCTGTGCAGCCGTGTCCTTATCCTCTCTCGCCGCCCCGTCTGTCTTCGCAACCGCTTCTGGTCCATCTACGTCGGCGGCGGGTGTCGGGTTCAGTTTCGCCTTCTTTGCTTTACGAGCGGCCTTCTTTGACGCGGGTTCGGGAAGACTGATGTCGATCTCGAGCTCTTCGGGAAGTATCTCACGTTTGCGCTTTTTCGCTGGTGTCTCCGCTTCATCTTCGGTGGCATCGGCCTGCGCAACCTCAGCGTTCGATTCTGTCCTCGAGCGCTTCTTCTCTTTCTTCTCCTTTTTCTCCTTCTTCTTTTCGCGGCGCTCCTCCTTTGAAGCGACGGCGACTTCGTCGGCAGAAAGCATCTCAGTATCTTTCGACATTGTAGCGTGGGTGATGTTGCGTATCGATACTTTAGGTCTCTAACTTTTTTCTGGGGCACTTTTTCGCTAGTAGGTCCGCGCTAGAAGACCCTGGCTTAGTCATGTTCCAAGAAGAACACCAGATTTCTGCTCCACAGTCGGATCTCTTTGGCCATGAACGATAATAGCATCACGAAGTCACAAGCAAATATACGTTCAACAAGACTCCAATAGATTTACTACACATATGGAAGTTATTTAGAAAGTAAGGAAAGATCAAATTGAGCCAAGGTAGGAGAGCCGTAACCGAGCCAGAGGCAATATAGAACCCCACTGACATGTCCCGTCGAGGTGTATTGAAGCGCGCGCCAGCGCCTTCCGTGTAGGGAGTGTTGAGTTGTTCCATGTTTCCCCAATTGCACTCCTTTAGACGCCCCCATAACCCAGAAATCCGAACGCTATAAACAATGATCTGGAGCACTCCGCTTACCTTTATGCTTACGAAGAATGTAGCTCGTCAACAGCCGTGCTCGATCTGCTTACGGCATCTCCTCATCGCTAGCATCGAGGATGTCGTATTCCTCGTCGGTCATGAAACCGTCATCGGACATTAGTGCAACACTTTCGGCATCCTCGAAAAACTCGTCATCCGAAGCGACGGTGACGGTACGAGCGACTGTACTCTTCTCAGACGAGGGAGACATGGGCTGAGCAGTAGTAGAAGACTCATAGGTGCTCGACTCAGGGGACTCTTTGTCTAGCTGAGGGAAAATCATACCGGAAGCGAGAGGCTCAGATGAGCGCTGCTTCTCCTCAACGGGGAGTTCAGCGACTGGCTCCTCAGGCTTGATCTCAGCCTTGGATGGAACAATCGGCTCCTGGTTGATGGTGGCAAGAGCAGCTTCGTGTTCCTTGCGGCGGTTCGCTTCCTCATGAACCTTACGACGGCCCTCTAGAAGACGCTCCATAGCAGCCTTGCGCACACGCTGGACACGCTCCATCTTCTGTTGGTCCAGTTGTTGTTGCAAAGAGTGGTGCGCATCCTTCATCTTCTGCAGGTTCATTTGCTGTTGCTGAGAGTGTTGTACATGCTTCATCCTCTCAGCTCTAGCTTGTAGGAGGCGCTCGTAAAGAGGATTCGATCGAGGGGCAACCTCAAACGTGGTAGCTGAGCCTGGGGTAGGAGTAGGGACGCTCTGGACTGGCGCAGGAGGAATCGCTGGCTGGGCGACCACAGGGGAGGGCACGCCAACGACGGCAATATCACACCACAGACGATGACCGAAGGGCATACCTTCAGGGGTCTTCAAGCGCCAGTAAGAGATAGCAGTGCCCTCACGTTGGGGTGCCTTCATAAGAACACGGAACTGAGCCTCCTCGCCGGCCTCGACGGTATGTCCGAGTATGTTGCTTTCGCTGGCCTCTGCGAGATCAGTGTGGCTCAAGGGACGCGTGTTGTCGATGTTGAGCATGTTGTCGCCACCAACGTGTCGTACACTGCATCCTCGTGGCCAGGCGTTAGGGCCTGGGTTGCGCAGAGTCCATACTTGAACAAACTGGTGGCCTGCACAGATCTTGGAACCGTCAATGATGGTATCTCGAATGAAGTGTGCGTCAAGGCCCTCGGTAGCGGTATCCGATCTGGCAATGGAGATAGCTTCCGACTTGATGGGCACCGTAGGCTGGATAGGCTGAGCAGGCTTCTCTTGCACTGGCTCTACAGAGTCGACGAGCAGATCACGAATAGCGATCTTCTCCTTCTTGACTTGAGGCTCTGCTGAGGGCTTCATGTCAACAATGGTCTGGACCTGAGTCGCAGCGTTGGTAGAAGGAGCGACAGGGGTAGTCTCAGTCGAGGTAGATCGCCTGTCAGCAATGCGATCACCAAGCCTAGCAACGGACTTGCGCTGCTTATCATCGTTGAGAGTCGTGACGCTAACGCTGCGCACAGGTGTCTGGAACTTGATGAGTGGATGAGTGTGGTTGTGCTTGTTGCTGGGATGAGCTTCGCAGTTTTGGCAGAAGTCGGTGTCGTGACAGACTGCACACTTGTAGCGAATGCCGTCAATGTATGACAGGTTCTCCTTATCCTTGCAGAGAGGACCGTCACAGTAGATACCGTAGTGGCGGTTGGCGGTGTTCATGGGCTCAGCCAAAGGCTCATAGATAGGTACGAAGCGGTGACGGGGGTGAATGAACTTGGCGTTCTTGAGACAGTCAGAGCAGTAATCCCAGTCTGGGCAATTCAGGCACTTGTGGCGGACACCGTAAATGAACTTGTCGCAGCCATCGCAGACAGCGTTGTGACGAACATTCCTGCCGGAATTGCACAGGAAATCCGCCAGAGTAGGAAGCACAGTCTCGGATGTGGCAGGCTTGAAGGTATGGCCAGGATGGTGACCATGCTTATTGCTAACATGGCAAGTCAAGCAAAGGTCGTAATCATCACAGGGGATGCAGGTGACGAACTCCTTCTCGGGGAGCACGGTGACACAGCAGTTACAGGTGCGAGTGGGCTCCTGTTCGTAGGTAACAGACTGCTTCTCATCGGTGAAAGCTCCCGGAATATCCTGCTGTTGGGGCTCCTCGGCCTTGACTTTGGGTGCGATGCGCTGGGTAGTGCTGTTGACGACACTGCCATTCTTGACGAAGCGCTTGACCATCCAGTGTCCGCTTCCGGGGCAGTGAACACCGTTGTCGACACAAGCAGGGCAAAGATCGTAATCGCCACCATCGCATACGCTGCAATGGAAGTGCTCGTCCTCCATGGGCTCGTTGCAGTTGTTGCAATAGACAACCCACGAGGTGCATACATTGCTCGGCTTGGGGCGGAACGCAAGACCCGAGTTATAGTTGGCAGTTGCAAGGTTGTTGAAGAAGTCTGTTGTGGGTGTTAGCTAAGTGTTGTACGGCAAATCACGTTCGCGTTGGTGCTTACTCTGACGGGCAGTGAAGGCCTGCGGTACAGGAGCCTCGCCGTCAGCATCTGCCGTCTTTGGTGGCGACACAGGACTGATGGCCTCCTTCTTTTCCATGTCCGGCGAGCGGGCAATTACCGGAGAAACAGGTGCATTGCCCTGTGGAGTGAGGGTATCTGAGCTCATGCGGTGAACAGATGGCGCGTAGCCTGGAAGCGTATGTGGCGGCATCGGCGCGGGTGCGGGCGCAGGTACGGGCTCTTCACCAGGAACGGTAGCTCTCAAACGCAGCTTGAGTTTCGCCTTTGCGGCGCGGAAGAGCGTCTTGTAAACCTGGGGTTTGTCGGCGTCGAGGATGACATACGAGGCGGCGGAGTCGGAGTAGCGCTCGAAGACGACCTGCTCGCCAGCTTCAAGCTGGAGGATGCTTCGGAGCTAAACATGGGAGATCAAGTTAGTATCGTCCTTCTTGAGCGCGTTTGGTCGTATATCCAGGCGACCGAGCCGATCGCCTGAGCATGATAACCTGTGGTAACGAGCAACTACGGACCTTGTCGGGCAGCACATGGGCTCCAAGATCCTTCAGAGGCAGCTTGAACTTCTTTGTCTGGCCGCGGAACAGGACCTTGACCACGATAGGCGTGTCCAGAGTCACGGGGACGTTGTTAGTCGCCGCCATGATGGGCGAGTGAGGCTGGCGATGAGGGTGAGAGTAGTAGTCAGAGCGACTGCAGCTAGCTTGCCGCCGCTGTAAGGAAGATGAAGAGGTGCAGCAACTTGAGTGTTGATGTTGCTGTCGAGGCTGGTTGATGGAGTTGAGTTGAAGGCGGAGGTGGAGCAGGTGAGACGGCGGAGCAGCTGGAGGTGTAATGGTAGCTGCCTAAGAAGTGGGGTCAGTGCGTTAGTGGACGCCGGGGCGCGCGCCAACCTTCTCGTACACCGGATTTCCAATGCTCGCGTCGCAGCGAGAGCGAAAGGCAGACGTTGGCTTTGTAGTTAGGTTCACTTGTGGGCTGAGGGACTGATGGACCGTCTGGCTTGTGGCAAGGTACTCTCGACTGCTATCGCTCGCGTTTGGCGGCTTAGAGTTGGCTGGCTTCTACCCTTGGAGTTGGTCAGTGGTCCGCTACCACGAAAGGCAGCCAGACACGTCGTCAGCCGGTGAGGAGCCGCGAGAACTCCGCCGATTACTATCACTCTTACCCGCCTATGCAACATCCAAGAAGGCTATTGCTCAAGATGATGACGTGATGGTCCGGCTGCACGTGATGATGAAGCACCGTGGGCCAGGTGATCATCCATGATAACGTTTCACAAATGCGATAAGAGGCCGCTAGCATGACGGCTCCCGGCCAGCTCGACAACGGCCGAAAGAGGCCGGCGTGTCTTGTTTCGCCTCACTAAACATGTGGAAAGACACGACACCCCATGTATCGCATATCTTTCCCGCTCAAGGGTTTGATGCATCTGCCGAGTCTGCCATTGGTCGCTCTGTTTTTCAGCCTCAATCCATGGCCAAGAGCGGCCACTGCGAGGCGCTTGTATGCGCACGCTCAATTCCCTTCGACATGTTGTGAACACCGAAATCTGTCTCATAGATGTTAATTGCGAAGTTGTATCATGTGCTAGCAATGGCCCCAAAGTATATGTCTTGGTGTAAACTTGGAAGGCGAATGGTACACTTCAAGATATCACCAAACTCCACAGACTCTGTCGAACACTAATGGAACTTATGCATTACTCTATTCACGGCAACGATTCGTCTCGATACTTTGCATTCGGCACTTCTGCGGTGGCCAAAGAAATAGGCGAGTGAGACTCCGATGGTTGTTGCAAAACGCAAGTAAGGGAGCCCTTTAGCTAAGACGCGTTTCTGAAGTGCTTCCGAAGGTAGACGTAATTGCAATTAGAATAGGTTTTCCATAGAATTTTAAGCCTGATATGAGACGGGTCTCTACAAGGCAAACACCGTGTATACAGATCCTGATTCCCAGGGTATCAATCATGTCCATCCTTCAACCCACTCCCATTCCCATTGCCACTCCCATGTCTCAACCCCTCCTACTTCCTCCCTTCAACCATGATGATATGATATCCCTCGCTCGTCTTCACCTCGCCAATCTTCGGGCTACCAGTTGTACTAGGCTCCAACTCATATGCTACCTTCTCGAAGTCCTGCATCAAGCTCCCTCTGACTTTCCAACCTAGGCTGCCACCTTGCCTCGCTTTGTCCTCACTCATTTCCCTGGCCACTTCGTCAAATTTTGCGCCGTTGCGCAGCTTCTCCAATGCTTCTTCCTTCTTAGAGTGCTTTTCGCAGAGTATGTGGCGTACGTTTATTGAAGTTGCTGGTTTGAGTTTTCCGCCTGAGCCTTTTCCCCCTTCACTTTTACTGTTACTGCTCTCGTCTTTGTCTTTTCCCTTGCCCTTGTTTTTAGGCGCCATCTTGGGATAGCGATGCGCGAACGAGGCTGCAGTGGTTTTGGAGATGTTGCAGTTACGATTGATACGTTGATCAAATGTTTTGGTAAGCAAGGTCTGGATTCGTGGAAATCGTATCGGTGATCTATCGTCTAGGTGAGTTTGCAATGTGGTAAAGTTATGCGCATGGGAGGCTTAAATTGGTGAAAGTGTACCGGAGCTCTGAGCTCTGCTGCGGGGCCCGATGCATCGGAGTGGGGTGGCGGCTATTTATGACAAGGATAACCTGGGCTGGACACGAGAACGGAAGCACGGTGCACTTGTATGCGATTGACCAGTTCCATTATACTTAGATTGTATTGCTTTCGTGATTATGCACATGAGTCCTCATTCCTTGAGCTGCTAAGCTCGTCATGCCTTGCTATCGACTTCCGCCAAACACTACATAAGATATTGGCCGGTGTAGCTTCCCCACAGATGCTGCTGTCCCTTGCAGTGCATAATACGGCGGAGCGCGGCGCGGCGATGTGGGCTTTATTTAATCGGAGTAATTATACAATTCAGGGAGCCCTGATGCCCTCGCTGCTTCATCCGTTACCATTGACGATTGCTCGAGGCGCCGTTCCATTAATACCGTTCTGTGCGAGTACAATATCCATGAAACTTTTCCGAGGCTTCTGCTTCTTCTCCGGCTGTTCGTCGTTGTCTGCTAGCTGTATTCGCCGTCTTTTACACTCAGCGCGCATCTCGTGGAGTAGCGGTCGAAGGCTATCGACTTTCTCGACTTCGTCGTAAAGATGCGATTCTTCCACCCAATACAGGCCTTCCATGGCTGAAAACTGATTCTTGGCTTCTTTGATGCTGTCCTGGATCTTGGCGTAATCGAAATCCGGAGCGCCTTCCATGGGGAAACGGAAATCCTGGGCTAGGAGGGCCACGTCGTATTGACGGAGGATGGCATCTCGTTGAGCGCGGCTCACGGGAATACGAGACCAATCAGAATAAGGAGTGCTGAGGTATGCTAGATCAAGTTCTGGAAGTCCAAGTATGCCAACAGCCTGGAAGGAACAAATGTATGTTCTGTTTGGTATGGCCTGCGAGTTGCAGAGATCCTCCGCAGCCGCATAAAACAGTGGCAGGAAGACAGCCGATACGCCGAGTTCTTCGCCAGAGAAATGAAGCGGTCGATTTGTGCCTAACTCGCAGGCGCGCCGTAAGGCACGTGGGAGCTTGGAGATACGATCCTGACGTGCTAGCAATTCCTTCTGGCGTTTCTCTTCCTGATCTGCTCGACGCTGGGTCTCCTGCTCTTCTCGTATGCGTGCTGCCTCGGCTTCTTCTGCCTGGCGCTTAATTTCGGCTTCTGCTTCGGCCTTCTTCTTTGCTTCCTCGATCTCTTGAGTCTTACGAGCTGCCTCTTCTTCTTCCTTCCTTTTTGCTTCAGCTTCGGCCGCAGCTTCGGCGGCTTTGCGTTTTGCTTCTGCATGCAGCTTTTGTTCCTCTTGGCGACGTGCGCGTTCAACTTCCGGGGTCGCTGTTCTTTCAGGAGGCACGGGCGTAGACTTGGCAGATGCTGTCGGTGTTCTCTTCATGCTGACATCATCTGTTGACGCATCAGATAACTTTCTTTTCCTGATTTTGTCTTCGACAGTCTTGTATTTGATCTTGTTCTTTACGACTTTGCGTTCATCTGGAGAATCAATCTCAGGCGTTGGTTTGGCACTGAGAGGTCTGGCTGGTTTGGTGCGAATCTTGGCTGGATGCTTCGTAGCATGATCCTCGTCACTCTCGTCTGAATGTGCTCGATCTGCTTGTTTAGATTCGTTGTCATCCGACCGTACTTTCGCTGGTTTCTTGACTGGCTTCGCCTCTTCGCCTTCGCTATAAGATCGCTGCTTGATCTTTCGGGTGGGCGGTCGTACGTCTTCTTCGCTCTCTTCTTCTGATGAATCGTCGGACACAACTCGCTTTCTTCTCTGATCCTCCCTAGTTGCCTTCTCCTTCCCAGACATTAATCGCCGGGACTTTTGGGGAGCAGCGGGCACCGTCGTCGATTTTGCCAGATGCGCACGTTTCGACTCAACACGTGGAGAAGACGATCGTTCTCTTCGTGGCGACGCCTTTCTCTTCATGCGATTGGCAGAAGCGTTTGGCGCTTCTCTCTTGACTCTTCGAGGGCTCCGGTGCGTTCCTTGATACTCTTCACAGGCGCGCTTCAGCATGTCCCTCTCTTCCTCCCATTTCGGGCCATGGCGCTCCTCGGAGATTTCGTAGTACGTCTTGTTCTCTTTGTTTCGGCGAGTGGGGTTGAAATTGTCTTGCTCGAGAAGCAGTTGTATGATCTTGAGATATCCTCGCCCTATAGCAACTGTCATGGGCGTTTCTGGGTGCTTGGACGGGTCAGGATCAGCCTTGAGGCCACTCGCTAAGAGGATACTGAGAATGTCGTAATGTCCACCTCTTGCCGCTGCAACGCCACACGTAATGTTCGGCTTGATGTTACTATTGATCAACTCTCCTACTGCAAGGATATCGCCGTCACCGGCTTTTTCGATCAGGGTTTCCACGTTAAACTCGTTGTACAACAAGCGCGATGCAGTCTTGGCCTGCTTCTGGGTACGCTCGTGGTCGTTGGTAGATGTGTCTACCCGCCTCCTCATCGCTTCCCTGAGTTCCTTCTCAATCTCTTCTGCATCTTCATCTTCTTGATCCAGCACATCGATTGCACGCTGCCCCTTCTTGTTCGAGTGGTGTGGATTGACCTGGCCCTCGTTGAGAAGCAATCTGACTACGTCCAGGTGTGAGTTCTCCACTGCATCGATGAGGGGAGTGTCCCGATCGTGACTCTCGCAGTCTGTACGACAGCCTTTGCTAATCAGATACCGAACGACAGGTGCCCAGCCATGCAACGAGGCCTTTTGTAATGGAGCGATACCAGCGTAATCCGGTTGATTTAGCTCATCGGGAGCTTCTTCGAAGGCTTCCTTGACTGCATCAAGGTCGCCCTTTTCACTTTCTCGAGCGAGTCGCGTAGCGCCAAATCTATCGACCTTTCGCTGTGGCATGGTGCGTGCAGGTGAGGTCAGCGCACGATGCGTGGAGCGCTTTACTCGGGCGTGTTGCAGATGTGGTGCGGAAGTAGGCTGTGGTGATGTCGAATGATCTGAACTCGATCCCGACCAATGCTCTTCTGTTGACAGAGCGAGGTTGGTGACCTCGCGGCGCTTGCGGCCCGCGATGCCTGTGACGGCGGATTGAGTCGATTGCGAACGCTTGTGTGGACGACCAAACCCCGGTGTGCCAGGCGAATTGGGTGGGCGCGCGTCTTTCAAACCCTCGGTCCTTGCTTTTTGTCGCGGTGGTTCGAAGGCTTTGGGGAACGAGTCATCGCGCAGCTTGCGCTTGCGATTTTCGACGGTCGACGCGCTGCGGCCGCGGGTGGTGGTGTGTGTGGGAGAAAGGGCGGACCGGACAGGCGATTTGGCCGAGTCATTTGGGCTGGTGTCCTTGGTGTGTCGCGAGGCAGTGCGGCTGCTGGGTGAAGTAGGAACTGGGCTCTTTGCATCGCGCTCAGAAGCGTGCTTGACGCCATTGACCTTGACATGATTGCCGTTGCTCGAGCGGCGACGGCCGTTGGGATGGGGTGAATGCGCCCGCGACTCTTCCTTGATGGAGCGCAGCCGTGATGCATCATCGTTGTTCTCGTCGTCGTCGATGCGCTCCGTCTTGATCACCTTGTTCTCGACGGGGTCCTCGTCCCGTGACAGGACGACCGTCTCGGCCTCAGATTCGCCTTCGGCATCCTGGTCTTCGTCGTGGGCATGTTGGGATGGAAAAGCGGCAGCCTTGGGTGCCGGGCGTGGAGAGGGCGGACTGTGGGGGCGGTCGTGGTGAAAGGGCTTTGGGGCAGAGGGTGCGTTTAGGACCGGATCGGCATTACTGGTCATTACGCTGGGACAGGACACTCGAGTTCCTGCCTCATGCTGGCTTGCAGAGCAAGGGACGGAAGGTGCACAGCGGTGGCCTTTGCAGCACGATAGGTGCGGGCGGCAACAACAGGGCGCTTGGCTGTTGGAAAAGCTTCAAGGGATGTCGCGGTCGGGGGGTTGGTGATGAAGGCGCGTTGTGAGGTGTAGTGGAGGTCGAGCGAGCGACACGGAGAAGAGAGCTGAGAGGCTTGCCAGTAGCAGGCAGTGCTCCACCCACCATTCACCGGCCTGCACCATCCATTGGGGGCATGGATCCAAAGACGGCCCCGTCGCGACAGAAGGCAACCCTGCACTCGCCTTTGTGCTCGTCCCAGGCAGGCTATCGTGCATGGTGAGCGACAGGCAGCGCAACATGGCCATCACAGGGCGCTGTGGTCGCGACGTCTGATGTTGCGTGGCTCCATGTTCTGCCAGTCGGCCTCTCCCACTCACATGAAGCCGTCTTGTCTTGCCCGTCCCGTGTTCCTCGTCGCTCGCCAAACCAGCCGAAACAGGTCTCCCAAGGTTCCAAACTGCCGCTAAAACGGCCTTTGCCGCGTTATTTAGCCCTCGTCATCTCCTGCCGGCCAATTTGTTTGGTTCAGTCGGTGTTAGCCTGAACCACTGAGGAGATTGGGCCCCATAGCACGTGATTCACTAATCGAACAAGCGGTCAGCACCAGTCAAGCCTTCATCATTCTGCCGTCACCAGCCCCAGGCCTTGTACACTCTCCAATACCATCCCACCATGGCCTCGCTATCGTTGTCGCTCGAGGACTTGCATTCGGTGGCTCTGCTGCGCGCCTTCTATCTCGCTGCATCACTTCTTGTATCGCGACACCACTCAGTCGCACCTGCAACCTCACTAATCAGCGTGCTTACTAGATCCTCGTCATCCAGGCCGTTCCTGCCCTGCGCTCTCGCTTTCTTGCCTATGGCTCTCGTGTCGCTGGTCTAAGCGGGAGGAAGGTGCTACCCGTTCAGCAGCAGCAGCAGCAGCCAGCTCTCACCCGCATTCTCGATTACGCCGCCTCGCTGCAGGTTCCCCACAACTAC